CACTGACACGACAGAGCTTAGTGGTCACGTGCCACATCGTCAGGCCATCCTGACAGGGCGGAGCACAATGGCCACCTACCACATTGAATGCACCAACCCGCAAGGGGTCGAGTGACGAAGCTTGAACAAGCCACGAACTATGAACTCGCATTAGATATGCACATGACACAGCGCTTTCAAAATCACTTCATGATCGCAAAAACTCTCGGGGGCTACTATCGAGGTTATAACCCGAGGTGCCTCACGATACCGATTAGTTGGTAGGCCACGCGACCCACAATATATCAGCTAGCAAAGGCCCAAACGACCGAGTTCTAGCTAAGCCGAGCGAACCAGGCCAGGTCCAGCCACGACCCCTTCCTTCTCTCCCAGCCGCATAACGAACAGAAGATTCATGACCTCTTCACCGTCATGACACCTAGGAGGAATAGGAAGAGGTCAAGCCTAGCTGAACACACCCACTCTGGCAAAGGCAAGAATGCTACTATGACTCCACAAGGACTGAGGGGACAGTGGTCACCTTGGTCCGGTCAGACGCCATCCATGCGCCATGCTATGAAGACAAGACAACACCGCACGGCGGTGACAACCGGTACAACAATCCACCGCCCAAATACAGACCGACAGGACGCATGTATGATTCTACCCACCATGAGATGGGATCCATGATGGAGGCATTGACTTAGGGGCCATCCAACCCGACAGGAGACATGACCCCAACGATCAGGATCGAGGCCCTCAACTCCTCAAAATATCAAGGCGATCGACGACCCGAGGCAGCTACCGACTACTATACGACACCCCAGAAAACCAGGAGGCGATGATGAAGACCACGGCAAGGACCACATCGCATAGGATGGCTGGCAAACCACCAATGTGCCTACAGTGCCGCCACTGCTGGCACAGTAGCACCACGACACACCATGCCGCGATGTGGCCATAAGACCATGATGACAACTACGCCTAGACATGCTCCACAAGATGGTGTAGCTTGTAAGCCAAGTTAGCTAGGACCTCCCTTAGGCTCACGACCCTTCGGTCTGGAGAACCTTCTTCTTTGTATATGCCCTGGCCCCAAACTCTATATAAGGTTAGCTAGGACACCCATCTTGGGGATCCAACTCTGATTCATTCATTCTTACACCATAGAAGGGCTCCTAAAGCTTCCCTTCGGGCAGCCCATCTTCGAGCTCTGGATCTCTTACCTCTTGCACCATTCTTGCACCCCCCATTGTAAGAACTTTAGAGCATTCAAGTGAGGAACACGCACTCGATCATCTCTAGGACTGGACGTAGGGCTCTGGCCTGAACCAGTATAAATCCTCGTATCTTTTGGATGCTACCATGATCTTCCTAGAGTAGCGTGACAATCGTATAAATTTACTAGTCTGATTTACAAAACATCGACAAGTTGCATAAGGCATCTACCTCTGTTAATCCACTATTAACGAAGACGGGCATCGTAACACAACTGCCTCGGTTAATATTGTATTAACCAAGGCGGACGCCTTATGTCGCCCGTCTCGGTTAATCGATTACGGAGGCGGTTGACTTAAGGTCACTGCCTCCGTTAATAGTGGATTAACAGAGGTGGTCTCCATTATGTTGCCCACCTCCGTTAATCCTGTGGCTATAAATGCAGCACCCAGCAGCACCCCACCTTCTTCGTCACGGCTTCTCCATTTTTGCGGGTTTTGAATTCCAAAACCCCAAAAATTGAGCATTTCTTAGGTGGAGAAGTTTTGCTCTTGAATTTGTTGGGGGAGGACACTCTAAGAGGTTGCTACATGCTCCCCATCCTCATTCTTCTCTCTTTTTCAACACTTGGGTTAGATCTAGATCTGGATCTAGCTTCTCATGAAGAAGAGAGAAAATAGATCTAGGTCTAGATCTATTCTCTTCCGCTGCTATTTGTTTCTAATACTGCTATGCTTATGTTTTTTTCGCTGTTGGTGTAAGGTTCGTAGGCATGGACAGGTCAGAATGGATGTACCGGTGGTCGAGATTGGAACCGGAGTACCTGGTTCAGGTGAAGTGAAAAAGTTTGTTGCCGCTGCAAAAAAGCATCGTGAGAGTATGAATCGGACGACAACCATATGTCCGTGTTCTCACTGTAAGAACATGAAAGCCAACAGAGATAGCGTGGTGCAATCTCACTTGATTAGGTTTGGTTTCATCAAGGATTACACGGTCTGGAGTTTTCACGGCAAAAAAGTAGATGCAAGTGGCGGTGCATCTGGAGGAAACTCATCGTCGTCGACGGCGGTGAATGTAGACCATGTAGGATAACCTGCCTCATCATCAGCAGTCGACAGGCACGGCGTTGCTGGCGACAATGCTGATCGTGATTACATCACGATGAAGGATTTACTCCAAGACATGGCCGACGGCGGCGGGGGCGGTGATGGGGATGGTGAGGAGGCTGCTGTGAGGGTGCCCGAGGATGTGGAGCTTTTTGAGGAAATAGCTAACTGCCTTGACCACGACGGCGTTCTGTTTGGGAGCCCGAGGTGGCTGGAGAATTTTAGAGAGATGATGCAGGCGACAATTGATACGCTCTATAAGGATTGTCTGAAGCAATGGACGGCGCTGCGTTTTAACCTCCAGTTGCTGATGCTGAAGGCTTGACATGGCTAGTCCGACACTAGCTTCAACGAGCTGTTACGTATCCTTACTTCCACATACCCAAAGAATAACAAGGTGCTCACCAATACCTATTGGGCGAAGAATCTGATCCGGCCAGTGGCACTGAATCCTAACCACTATATCTTGTATCGGGGCCAAAGGACATGCCATTTGGGAGTAAAACTAACTGTCAAATCCTGTCCACTAATCTTGTACTTGATGGATGAGATTATTTCGTGAACAGGTGTCTGTTGGTTGCGTCTGTTCGTGGCATCATTTCACAACAATTTCTGATATTTAGAAGATATTTGCAAGCAACTGGTTTCATCATTGATACATACAATGGAAGAAATCTAACTGGCCACCATTGCTTACAATTTATGATGTGACTTTGCCTTGTGGAACTGGATTTGGTTGAACATAGAGGATATTTGAGGTCAGGCACGATAGATGAGCGTGCCGTCTCATTTCGAGTAAACTAGAAGATACCCCACGTGTTGCTGCGGGATTGCAACGAATTTGGAACCAAATTAACTGGAGATGATGATGGATAGCCTGCAATTAAGAAGTTAGAAATTAGTGTGATGACATGGCTATTAGTGGAACATGATGTAGATTGTTAGTGGAGGATGATGTGAATGGCTTGCATGTTCTTAGAGTGGGGATTAGCTTTATAAGAGATATGTAGAAATTAGTGGGATAACATGGCTATTAGTGGAGCATGATGTGGATTGTTAGTGGAGGATGATGTGGATGGCTTCCATGTTGAGATAGACTTAGTGAGGATTAGCTTTATAAAAGGGATTAGCTTTTTAAGAGATATAGATGGCTGCAGATTAATTTGCGAGGTGGCCCACTACTCAAAGTAAGGAGTATCCATATATATGGGCTTATCATTGACATTTTGAGTTCAAATTAGCAGAATATGATGGAACTATAGTTGAAAGAGACTACAGGAGAAACTATCTAATCTTTTAGGAGCACCTTATTGCTTTAGGGTCCATCTTTTCTTAATGGACATTGCTTCGAAGTTCACATTTGCTGTCTATATTAACTTTGGTTGCTTGAAGAAATTGAAACTCTTACACTGAGCTATCTAGTTTAACAAATCGAGATAGCTCCAGATTTTTATTTGTTTTACAGGCCAGAATGCTCACTAGGCTTTCTTCGGCGGGCAGCGTAGCACTGGTTTCAACTTTGCACGTCAGATACATATTTGTGTCTAGGAATTTGCTATTGTCTGGTGCAAGATGGCTTGTTGCATTCCATTTTCAGAAAGGAGCATTTCCAAACGGGAAGTCTCGAGAAGTACTTTTTCTGCAAATTTATTTAAATATATGATAAATTTATCTTAATATTTTTTTTAAAAGGGCACAAATTATGGCAAAAGCTCCTCACCTTGGTTCCCAAAACTCGACATCTTTCTTTTCTTTTATTTACTGGGACGGATATCTTTATACTATATCTTTACTCAGTAATCACACAAAAAGTTCTGTCCCTTTTATTTTTCGAAGGGGTTCATGTTGATTGAATTAAATCTAGGGCAATCCTTGGGTGAACTCACTGCTCACCTGACGTTAGGGTAATGCCCAATAACCATGAGAAACAACTTTCTTGCGGGTTGAACAAGCATATAACCAAAGTTCTTACATTGAATACTAACTAATATTGCATACTGACACCACAAATAAATTCATGTACTCTTTGCTTAATTGTACACACTAGAGGCACTTGACTAGCCACGTTTCTTTTTTCTCAAATGCACAAAAAGTTTACGCATCATTGTATTTAGGATTGAGAAATTGGGTTTTTACATCGACGCGCCACAAAGTGTCACACTGGGAGGGGCAAAAGATTTTACATTGAGCTTATTCCTCCTAGCGGACTACATTACAAGTCGATTACTCGTGCAAGAGATAACGTAGCTTCGCCGCCCTGGCCTCAATCCACTGGTCCGCGATGTGCCTGATGTGCGTGAGTATTTGCAGCACAGTGGACGAGGCTTGGACGAGCCACATTTCTTAGTCCTGGAGTTTACTGTGTTTTCCTTGATCAAATACCAATCAAGTTTTGCTCGATAGGACTACAGATATTGTACAATATAGAATGACATCGTTGTCACTGACAAATGGTCCTAAGCCCCACATGTCATCTTCACGAGTATTACATCAATCTGTTAATGAGTAAAATCTACTAGTGCAATCCACCGACCACATGACCACATGGCCTTACCACCACACCAGCTTGGCAGGTTGATACATACTGTTGTGCTGTGTAGCATATATTGTCCAGGGCTCGGCCTCTACCGTCTATAAAAGGCTAACACCGGGCACGCATTCCTTCGCCACGAGCTGACGCACACACATCCATCAGCAATGGCGACCACCATCACCAGGCTCTTGCACCACCTAGCACTCTTCCTCCTCGTTGTCCAGTTCGCCGACGCAGTTCTCACCCCAAAGACCAAGAACCACGCTGCTCTGAAGCCTCAGTCATCGAGCACCACCTACATCGTCCATGCCAACGACCTCGCCAAGCCGCCCCACTTCGGCTCCCTGGAGGAGTGGTACCATTCCATGGTGACCACCCACGCCTCTTCCACTCGGGCGGCGAGCTCCAGCGGCATCCTGTACACCTACGACACCGTCATGCACGGCTTCGCGGCCCAGCTCACTGGCGACGAGGCCCGGCTCATGTCCAGCGCGCCCGGTGTCATCGGCATGTACAAGGACAGGGTGCTGTACCCTCAGACCACGAGGTCGCCTGGGTTCATGGGCCTCCAACCCGGCAACGGCGCCTGGAAGCAGACCGACTTCGGTGACGGCGTCGTCATCGGCTTCATCGACACTGGCATATGGCCCGAGAACGCGAGCTTCAACGACAGCGGGCTCGGCCCAGTCCGGTCGAGCTGGCGGGGCAAGTGCGTCGACGCCCACGGCTTCAACGCTAGCTTGTGCAACAACAAGCTAATCGGCGCCAAGGCCTTCCACGCTGCCGCGGACGCCATGGCGGGGAGCGCGAGCAGCACGTACCTGGCCTCGACTGTACAGTCCCCGAGGGACAAGAACGGACACAGCACGCACGTGGCCTCGACGGCCGCCGGCTCTGAGGTCCAGAACGCCAGCCTCTACACGTTCTCCCAGGGTACCGCGTGGGGAATGGCACCCAGGGCGAGGATTGCCATGTACAAGGCATGCGACGACAAAGGCGAATGCCAGAATGCGGACATCGTAGCAGCGGTGGATGCTGCGGTGAAGGACGGCGTTGACATCGTTTCCATGTCCCTCGCAAACCTTAGTCCCATACCCTTCCACGATGACGAGATCGCAATCTCCACGTTCGGTGCGGAGCGCAAACGCGTCTTCGTCGTCCTCGGCGGCGGCAATGGAGGCCCGCGGGCATCTACCGTGAGCAACTCGGCGCCGTGGATGACCACCGTAGGCGCCTCCACCGTGGACCGGCTGTTCCCGGCGCACCTCACGCTCGGGGACGGGGTCGTGCTCGCCGGGCAGTCCCTTTATACCATGCATGCCAAAGGGCACGCCCATGATCCAGTTAGTGTCCACGGACAGCCTCAATGACTGGACGCCCGACACGGTCGTGGGAAAAATTATCGTGTACATGGACGGAGCAAGCGACGCGGATGGCATCTCCTTGCAGAATGCTGGTGGAGAAGGGATAGTTGGTGTGGATCCTGACGAATGGTCTCGAGAATCGAGATGGTTCCGCAACCTATTCCTTCACCCTTCCGGGTCTCACGCTCAGCTACACCGCTGGCGAGAAGCTCAGGGCGTACATGGCCTCGGTGCCCTATCCGGTGGCGTCCTTCAGCTTCGGCTGTGAGACGGTCATCGGCCACAAGAACCGGGCGCCGGTGGTGGCGGCATTCTCGTGGCGAGGCCCCAACCCTGTAGCACCCGAGCTCCTCAAGCCCGATGTCGTCGCGCCGGGAGTGAACATTCTTGCGGCCTGGTCGGGCGACCAGAAAAGCAACAGCGACGCGCCACTAGCGGATTACCCCGGAGTCCCCGTCCCCGACGGGACGAGAGTGAACTACAACATCATCTCGGGGACTTCCATGGCATGCCCGCACGTCGCTGGCATCGCGGCGCTGATCAAGAAGAAGTATCCAAGCTGGACGCCGGTCATGGTACGGTCGGCGCTGATGACGACCGCCGCGACGGTTGACAACAGAGGCGGAGACATCCTCGACAATGGGCACGGGGCCACCGTGGGCCGCACCGACAACGTCAGGATCGCGACGCCGCTGGTGGCCGGGGCCGGGCACGTCCAGCTGGACCCGGGTCTCGTCTACGACGCCGGCGCGCGCGACTACGTCGACTTCCTCTGCGCCCTGAACTACACCGCGAAACAGATGCGGCGAGCCGGCGATTCGTTCCGGACTTCTTGCACGGGAACGCTCGCCGGCGGCCCCGCCGGCCTCAACTACCCGTCATTCGTCGTGGCTTTCGACAGCCGCACCGACGTCCGCACACTGACACGGACGCTGACCAAAGTGTCCGAGGAGGCAGAGACGTACAATGTCACTGTCGTGGCGCCGCAGCACGTGAAGGTGACCGTCACGCCGACAACCTTGGAGTTCAAGGAGCATATGGAGACGAGGAGCTACTCGGTGGAGTTCAGAAACGAAGCCGGAGGGAACCAGGAGGCAGGCGGGTGGGGCTTCGGGCAGATCACCTGGGCGAACGAGAAGCATAAAGTCAGGAGCCTGGTGGCGTTCCAGTGGAACAACTGACGACTTCTTGAGTTCTACTAGTAGTATTGGAGTAGAAACTTGCACAAGAATAAGCTATATGTTGAGCTTTCATGCTTAAACTGTCATATATTGTCATGTTGATGAGTTCATTGCTGGTTAGGATGGTTGACAGAGGGAGACCAAGATATGTTTGGGGGAAAGCCTTCCCTCTGGCATCCCAGCACTGAGACACATTGCTCCATAGCTTCTTCGCTCATATGAATTGGCACGACAGTACTCTTGGCATAATTAATCTGAAGCCAGTGGCTTGTGCAAAGTGATCGAGCAGTGTTCTTAGCCTCTGAATGTCGTGCAACTCAGCCCGTACCAACACCAACGTGTCATCCGCGTACTGAAGTACCGGACAACTTGTACCAGCAATAATCGGGTGCCTTATCTGTTCATCGGACCTAAAGCACATCTGCCACAAGAATGAAGAGATACGATGACATGGGATCCCCTTGCCTGAGACCCCGAAACCGGGGCATCCATTAACCAATACCGCTGATCGAGATGATTGTGCTATGTGCCGCATCCATCTTGGCCAAATGTGGGTGAAGCCTCTGACCTGTATAACTGAATCTAAGGCTTCCCAGCTTCCTGTGTGGAAAGCTTTTGCAAAATCCAATTTGACGACAAGCGTTGGTGTTTTTCCGCTTGTGACAACACTGGATGAGTTCCATTGCATAGACGAAATTTTCTGTGATTGAGCGCCCTTTGATGAAACCTGTTTGGTCAAGACCCATAAGGTTGTTGATTTGTGTCTGCACCGTCGTTGTTAAGATCTTGGACAGAATCTTCACACAACAATTCTGAAGACAGAACGGCCTGAAAGCCGAGACCACATTTGCTCCTGGCTTCTTTGGCAGCAACACCATATGAGATCTGTTTAGGAATAGCAGGTTCTTCCAGCTAGATACCATCAAGAATCTCTGACTACTGCATAGGAACAGATTCAAGTTATAAGTATTTTTTCCTTGCTAATATTTTTGCATTGGAGGTTTACATGCCTGCAAAATTGTCTGCCTAAAACGAAACATCACAGTTTTGTGTAATTGATTCACACTCCGGAATTGGAGAAATTAAAGATACATGGATCCGTGTGAACATTTGAAGTTATTGCACCTGAGAATTGACAAATTTCTGCTCTTATGGGAATTTGTTTACCATAAAAAGTAAATAAAAAACCCATAGATATTGTAGCAATGTCACATAATGTTTAATTGAAAGAATCATATATTAGCTTATTCTCATTGACCAATAACCCCTTTTTCGTGAGAGAACAGGTAAGCATCAATTTGTGGTACACCCTTTTTGTTTGGATGATCATGAATTCAATTGCCGCACTTGATCTACAAGGCTGCAACTTCCTAACCTAAGCATTGTTCAGCACCCATCTCATCAAACAGAAAAAGAAAAGCATTGTCCAGCTTAAAAGCCGAAATAATAGAAAGATCAGCCAACAATGGACAAATTGCCGTGTGATTGTACGCTTGGTCAGTAATGCTTTAGTTAGATGCTACATTGCTCTTTTGCTTGTTGGTAAGATAACAAAACACTTTTCCTATTTCCACCATTTACACCAGTCCACAATTTCTATTCACGAGAGAAGCATTGCAAACATTTTCTCGATGAAAAGATTCAAGTGCACCCTTTCATCATTAATATATAGATCAGGATGTACAGAGACGTTGCAAGTTTGCAGTTACTTTTCAGGTTAGACAGCCATGTCTGTTTCACTGATTTCTGAGTGCATCACAAAGCTTGGGAATACCATAGTAATGTCCCTGAGGAATATGAGCAACCAATAGTCAACGAAGGGTATTCATAGTTTCATCAAAAAAGGAAGGGCATTTATAAAATCAGTCAAGGTGTACATGGCCACCCAAAAATGAAGGCTACGTCTGAATTACTTCCATTTACAAAACATAACAGCTAGTCATGCGAATGCAACCTACAGGGCACAAATTAGATGTAAAACAAAGAAATACATTCTCCCACCACAAACAAAACTGATGCAACCCTAATAGACTTCTATGGTCACATTTATATTCTTTTTTCAAAAAATGTCAAATAACAGGGCAACTCTATTGATCAAGGTGTCTTGCTAATATACCATTGAGAAATATTACGAAAACTCATGCATACATACTTGAGGTAGGGAAGGGTCATATTCCTCAGCACATATGGATTATCTTTAGCATATGCAGTCCATTCTTCTTGATCTATCTTCCCATAACCTTTTGTGTCAGCCTGATCAAATGTCTATCAACAACCAACATCAACAGATTCAGCACCACGCAAAATGGATATATTTGTTTTGTATTCTTGGGGTTTAGGACACTGCACCACAGAGGAACACATGGATAAATATTTTCTTACCCTATCAACAATCATCTCGACAGCATCGCTCGCAATATCCAAATCTGATTCATCCAGCAGAGCCAACACCATCTCCTTTAACTGCAACGTAACTGAGGATAGTGAGAAATATTCCTAATAATCATATTTTAGGCAGAACTTACATGCTCACTACAATAGACATGACTAAAGGGATAAATGGTCAAAAGACCATTCACAAAAAGTCCAGCTAAGACAACCAGTTTATCTATTGACATTTCAAAACAAAGACAACAATATACAGCAATTAATTGGTATTACACCATAATTATCTATCAAGAATGAAATTCTCTACAGGCCATATATTACTCAGAAATACAACTGAGTAACATTTATCCATCTGATCCTGATCTATTATATTTGAAATAAGTTTTCAAAGATGGGCTTTCTCAAGTTTCTGTAGCTTACTACTTCAGATGCCACTGAGCATATACTAAGGTAGTTTCAGAAGGAACTATTTTCACATGATTTCAAAAGTAATCAGTTGGAAAGAAAAAAAAATCTATATATATTAATTGGTAATGTATCTGGCTAAGGAATGCCTTCCCGCTGGCCGCTGCAATCTATATATTATTTTCCCATTGCAGAAACACAATTTCTTGTAATTGGTCTCAATTGCTGTGTGCTTACTGCAGATTTCAAGTGAAAAAGGAAAGAGATACAAAACCTCTCTGACATGAACGCTTAATATGAATATTCAATAACAAGGAATCAGGGATACAAAGAATGTACATCATTCATTACATTCATTCACTCAAAGCCAGAAAGTAACTAATGAAAAGAAAAACAATGCTTACCTCATGCCGTTCTATAAAGCCTGTCTGTCTTAAGTCATACAACTTAAATGCAACTGCAGTAATCAAATAAAAATAATTAGCTAAAGAAAGTAAACCTAGAACTTTCTGGTTCTGAGTCTCAGTAGAATAACTTTCTTACATGCAACCTTTTGTTCTTCTGGTGCATCTGGATGAAACACACTAAGAGATCGAACAAATTCGCCAAATTCAATTACACCATTTCGTTTTTGATCAAACAAGTCAAATACCTGCAATTTATTTTTGAGCTCTGTTATAATAAATTTTATAGACATACAACTGATTTAAGTCTATACAACACTACCACATTGAATTTATTCTTGAACTAAAGCATAAATCATCATCATCATCAACCCTATGTTGAAGACTTGAAGCCTTGTATATCACACTCTGCCAATTCATGATTTAAAACTGCACAGAAGCTACAACTATGACACTGAAGTAGAAATGCTTTTACAGAGCTGACAGATGGGTGCTGACATTTACTGATAAAAGCAATTAGCAAAAAAATTATCATCAACGAACAATCATCAGGTATTTGTTAGGGAGGAAGGACTTAGAGAAGCTGTTCTTTTTACAATAAATAAAGTCGTGAGCAACATTTTGAAACTAACAACTTGACATAATTGATACTCTTACCCTGTCAACAAAGAGATTTTGCTTCTTCTTGCTCCTAAAGAGAGCAAGGTGGAATTCTTCCTAGAAAAAAGGAAAAATGGAAAATGAGACATATTAAATTAATTTATCACAAGATTGTTACCCGTACAAAATTATGCTTTGGAGACTACCTTGTGAATTAGATTATCTTTGATAATTGAATTACTTATTTTCCGGAAGAGTTCATATAGTGCTTCAACTTCACTCACTGTAACTGCAACAATAGGCAGAGCTTAACAAACTAGTTCCAAAACACAAGTACACAACAATACATGAGTATCAGAGTTAGTCAGAGAAGTAGCAATGGCACAGTGTTTTCGTCAGGTTTTTTTAACCCAAAAACTATGAAAAAGATAAGGACCTAGGCATGAATGCAAGCAGGAAAACATGGCAGTATTGATTCTTTCAAAAAAAAATAACATTGCAGTATATCTGAAAGCAATCCATTGATTCCTCTTTCTAAGATGGGATTCAATTCTCACGCAGTGTTCCAGTAGCAATATTAACAAAATCTGGAAGATCCACTTTCTCACAAGATGTTTCAGCAGCAAGGGCTACAACTTCATGCGTGTATCCAGCAAGTGTGGCGATCGAATGGTGTGCTTTGTTTGCAGACAGCCCATCGGCAGCGCCTCCAGTGGAATATCAAGGAAAGTGCAAACTTCGAGAAGATCTGCAAGAGCACAGTTCAATTGAAACAAATATGACAACGGCCTTTTGAGCTTCAGGAGAAACAATAGTAAACCAGTACAAATATACATCTAATGACAAAGATGCCATTGGTTTTAAACATTGTTATTTTCACCTCAGGGGAATCTTACCAAAACACAATGTCGAGAATCTTGTATCGTATCCTGCAAACAGTAATGCCTAAGCTCTGCATTCAATTCAAAAGTGAAGTAAAAGTCAGCCCTTGCTAATTCAACTGTACAGATGCATTCAAATGCGAGGTTGTGAAGTTGCAGGGACAGAACCTGTATATAGCTTACAGCTTCTAGATTTAAATGAACATTCCATACTGTTGGAAAGGAGGAGAAAAATCTCTTGGGTTACTTGTGCATATTGACAATTCCACGGCGCAACAATTTTCTTATTTTTTTATGGTATAAAATTCAACCCTCAACTCAG